CAAAGAAAGCGGCTAGAGACTTACTTTAAAAAAATTAAAAAAAATGAGAGCTGAGAATTCAGAGTACCCAGGACACAGATTGCCATAACAATGTTCTCTGAACTCTTAGATTTCATTTTGGGGGGAAAAGTTAGTCTCTAGCCCTTTTCATTACAGAAAGATGCCTTTCCCCTTATATCTCTGCAAAGAAAGCGGCTAAAGACTTACTCTAAAAAAATGAAAGCTGAGAATTCAGAGAACCCAGGACACAGATTGCCATAACAATATTCAATTTCCAGTTTTTAAAAAAGCTTCCCTTGTAAATGGCCACCACAGGAGCAAGAAACATGACTGTTGTGTGGGTAGTTCGAGGAAAATCCGAGGTTTCCCAAAACCTTGCAGCAAAGCAGGGTTGGGAAACCTGGCAGGCATGCAACAGGGAAACAGGAAGAAAACCTCTCTTCCCAACAGCATTGAACCTGAGGCAAATAACCCATGTGGTAACGGTCGCTACATGGACTCTTGATTTGGCTCAAGCAGCTCCACGTGTTCATATGGAATTGCTGGCTTCTTCCATCCCCCCCTTCACTAATTTTCTGGGACACAGGGTTTTTACTTCTCCGCATCCTGTAGACTAAATATAGTTGTTGTTGCTCAGCTTATTTATAGCTGTCAGTTCCCAGCAAAGAAAAGCCCCAAGTCCAAGCAAGAACCAAACTGTCTTCTGGCACTAGCTGCTATTCTTGGCAGATGGGAATTGTGCTCTGCCTGTGGCGATTACTTGCAAAGTTTGTCTAGCCCTTTTTTTAAAAAACAAACAAAAAAAGACCCAAAAAACCCCAAACTTTAAATGACAGTTGTGATTCCAGGATGCTCGAAATCAGCAAAACCCAGAGGATGGATAACTTTGGTACAGACCTTCCTTGTAAGGAACATGACACAACTGTTTGGGCTGGCTTTGCTTCATTTTTCTTTGGGAGTCCGGAAAAGACATTGCAGAAAGATGGAGGCATTGTACAACTTGATTTTTTTAAAAATAAAGAAGTGGCTGCATTTTGCCTTGATTTTAACTAGGCCAAGAGTCTCCCCTAGCCCCATCGCACTGAGTTAATTCCTAATTAATTCTTTTAAACATTAAAACTACCTGTGAGAGAACTGGAATTCTAACTCCCGCGTCTGCCCTTATCGGAAGACCTTGAACAGTGCATCTGGGAGTAGCAGTCATTGTTTCTTTCTCAGATTATTTGTAGCAAACACCTCCATTGTGACAGGGCTCTTGTTGTGGTTTTATGTGTGTGCACCTGCGAGGGGCAGCTGGTCTCCAGCGGATCTGCTTCCAAGCTCTTCTCTCTCAGAGCTCTGGGGCATTTGGGATCAGGCATATTCTGTTGCGGTCCAGAAAACCCAGCTTTGCCATATGCATTTATGAAGCGTGGTTTTGTTTTACTCTGACTCATAAGTCAGACAAATAACGGAAGATTTGGGGGATAGTGCCTGGGGGAGAGTGGAGTTTGGGGAGGATGCAACGTTATATCCAGATGATGCTCTAGGAACTTCCCCTAATCTCTATGGTAAAGAACACCGACGTGGAAATTCCTCTGTAGAGCCCATTTACTATTTTTTCTTCCATGTCTCAGTTTCTTGAAAGCAGGAAATTTGGGCTCAAGGTGGGAGACATCGCAGGAGAGCCAGTTTGGTGCAGTGGTTAAGTGTGTGGACTCTAATCTGGGAGAACCGGGTTTGATTCCCCACTCCTCCACTTGCACCTGCTGATGTGACCTTGGGTCAGTCACAAGCTCTGGCACAGCTGTCCTTGAAAAAGAGCAGTTTGTGTCAAGAGTTCTCTCAGCCCCACCCACCTCACAGGGTGTCTGTTGTGGGGAGGGGAAGGGAAAGAAGTTTGTAAGCCGCTCTGAGACTCCGAGTGAAGGGCGGGGTATAAATCCAATCTCTTCTTCTTCTTCTAAAATTCTTGGCTCATCATGTAAATACGGTAGGGTTGCCAGACCACCACCACCCCCGGTGCTGGCAGGGATCCCCTGGTTTCTGGGGCTCCTCCCCTCGGCATCCTGGTAGGGGAGAGTTACCACCCCAAACGTGACGTGACTATGTCACCTGGAAGTCGCATAGGCACATTGGAGATGTCGGGGGGGTGATGGTCTGTTTTTTGGGCAAAACTCTTTGGTAGAATTAGCTTCAAACCATAGAGAAGCAGCTGCCCTATCATAGGAGGGCGCTTGGCTTGGGACTTACCAATCAGTTCCAACCTTCCCAATGGCAACCATTATGTGATTGGTCCTGCTTTCCAGGACAGCCATTTTGTGATGGAAATGTTCTCAATGTTAGGACTTTGTGGAGGTCCATATGGTCGCCATAAGTTGGAAGCGACTCGATGGCACTTAACACACACACACACACACACACACACACAACACATACAGCCAGTTTGGTGTAGTGGTTAGGAGCCAGACTGTAATCTGGGAGAACCAGGTTTGATTCCACACTCCTCCACATGCAGCTGCTGGTGTGACCTTGGGTCAGTCACAAGTTCTCTGAGAGCTGTTCTCTCAAGAGCAGTCCTTGAAAGAGCTCTCTCAGCTCCACCTACCTCACAGGATGTCTGTTGTGGGGAGAGGAAGAGAAGAAGATTGTAAGCCGTTTTGAGACTCCAAGTGAAGGGTGGGGTGTAAATCCAGTCTCCTTCTCAGAAATCCAGAAGTGTCCACAGACTCAACAAGATTGGGTACCCCAGTTTACACAGTTATAGAATTCAGCACGTTATGGAACTTATTGATTTGCAAAGCGCAATCTCAGTCCTCCATATAAACTATGTAGGCCTTACGCTAAAGTGTGTGGGTCTTCATAGTTAGGAAAAAGATGATGTAGGAGGGGCATTATAGAGTGGTATAAGACCATGCATGACATACAGATGAATTTTATAATACTAGAATACAGAGTCATGAAATGAAACTGATTGACAGACAGGTTTGGAAGAAGAGGATGTTCTTCTAATATGGATGTATGGTTTATTGACCATTCAAAACACTACTGAAATCACAAAGGAAAGCTTAGGTAAAGGAAAGATAGATTCCTGGAAGGTGGGTTCATCAGTGTCTGCTAGGTGAGGTGACTGAAGTGAATCTCCACATCCAGAGGTAGTCAGCCTTTGAATACCAGTGCTAGGAGGCAACATCATGGAATGTCTTGACCTCTATGCCTTGTTGCCTGTCCAAGCCAACTGATTAGCCACTGTGTGGGATGGGATGTTGAACTACTAGAGGGACTGCTGGTCTGATCCAGTACCACAGATGTTCTTATGAAGGAAAATGACAACAAAATTTGCAAAGTTTCTCTATGCCAGATCAAAACCATCTGAGTATCTATACCACTGGAAAATAAATGTTTAAAAGGTGCTTCTTAATATATGGAATTAATTACCACAAATGGTAGAGACAGCCTCCAATTTATGGGGATTGCAGATACCGTGATCTCTATGTTTAACCAGGAGCTAAAATTGCAAACTCTGCAACCAAATAACAAAGCATTTATCTTATTTCTTCTTGATCTTTGCACCTGACTTACTCCGGAGTCCTTTGGTTGAAGCAAAAACTAGCTGTTGTCTGGAAACAGGGTGTCCCTTCCTGTAAAGCTGCCGCAAAGCATTCTGTTGACCAAAGCAATATGAGACATAATGGGTGCAGTCAGATGGCGTGCTGAGAGCGGGTTAAACTGCTCCGGTTTTGACCGGATTATATTTGATCTGGATAATTGCGACCACACTTACCTCTCTTATCCCGCCTCACTGCGCAGTCATGTTGCTCCCCGGCGTCTACACTACCGATGCACGAGAGCGTGTGTTAGCGGGTTTTAACATTTTTTTCTCAGTATGCGCATGTGCATAGGCGCTCACCCGTAGAATGGGGGGGGGAAACTACCATGGCGCGTGCGCAGCACCACCAGGGTGAACCGAACCAATCCAATCCCTCCAACAAAAGACTTCCCTTTAAATGTTTGACCCGAAAATGGGCCTCCGTGAGATCCTGAACTCATCAACTCTAAAACAAGTGACTGTTTAAATGTCGGTTTTCTAAACATGGTAGCAGAGCTCCGCCTATACGCACACCGCTGCCGCTAAAAAAAATGGCAGGCAAAAGGTGGAAGCCTCAGTCAGCTTTCGAGCGGGGAGGGGGTTTAAACCGGAAGTGGTTTGACACCAGAGGAGCAATCACACAGGGGGGAAATGCGGCTTTAAACGGGAATGCTGAGAAAACACCACTTTGGGCAGTTTTGAGCCGGAAACCAACGGCTGGGGACCGGAGGCAGATGTTGACTGTATGATTCTGCATATAAAATCCATGGCTGAACTGTCACGACTCCAGATCAAACGTCACGTCTGAACGCACCCAATGAGATCCATCAGTGACTACCAGTTATGACAGCTAAATGGATCCTTTTGTAATCTGAGACAGTACAGCTCTGAATACCAGATGCTGGGGGCAAGCCTTGCGGGTGACTTCTTTCATCTTAGCCACTATTGGGAAAAACAGCGCTGGACAATGTGGTCTGATTCCAGCAGTTTTTAAGTTCCTCTTACAGTGTGGTGCAGTGTTTAAGAGTGGCAGACTAATCTGGAGGACCAGGTTTGATTCCACAATCCTCCGCATGAGGCCTGCTGGGTGACCTTGGGCCAGTCACACAGTTCTCTCAGAACTCTCTCAGCCCCACCTGCCCCACAGGTGTCTGTTGTGGGGAGAGGAAGGGAAGGCGGTTATAAGCCACTGTGAAACTCCTTAAGAGAAGGAAAAGTGGGGTATAAAAAACAAGATCTTCTTCTGGCTGCTGAAGGCTCCATAGATGAGCTGCAAATCTACTTTGGTCTGGTTCCATTTCTTTTAAAGTTTTCCTGCACAAATTTGCGTGGGTTTCTTCAAAAGAATGAGTGGCCATTCCGTACCGCTCCCCCTCTTTCCTGGTCTAGTCTCATGCCCTCCTGACTCTTTTCCACATGTTTGTTGTTACAGATTGGAACCTTGGAAGACTATTACCACTTTCACCACAGTAGGACGATAAAGAGGTCAACATTCAGCAGCCGAGGCCCACACAGCTTCCTCAGGATGGATCCAAAGGTATGCAGGTGCTCTGACAGGGCTGTAATGACCTCGCGGGCAGGGCCGGTTCCAGTTTTTGGAGGGCCCTGGGCAGAGTGTCCACCAAGACGATGTGTTTGTGCATCCTGTCCCCACCTGCTGATGTGGCCTCTCTCTTCCCATGCTCACAGATGCCACAGTGCCCTTTCCCTGACTATGCTGGGCAGTGTGTGTGGCCAGGAGCGTGAATGGTGGAGGGCATGCAAGCAAGCAGGCGGAGGAAGGGCATGCCTCACCTCAGGGCAGGGCTATTTTGGGGCAGGAACGCACAGGAACAGGGTTCCGGCTGGCTCCTGAGCTGACCACACCCAGCAGGAACTCATTAGCATAATAGGCCACACCCAACAGCAGAAACTCATTAGAATTGGCTACATCAGGGGTGTGTGGCCTAACATGCAAAGGAGTTCCTGCTACAAAAAAAAACCACCTCTGGGTTTTGACAACAAAGTAAACAGAATAAGAAGCAAACGGTGGGTGTGGCTGGATGACCACACTTCTGGTAGCATGGGGGTGCGGCTTAATATGCAAGGGTGTGGCCTAATATGCTAATGAGTGTCTGCTGTTGGGTGTGGCCTATTATGCTAATGAGTTCCTGCTGGACTTTTTCTACAAAAAAAGCCCTGCCTCAGGGTATGCTGATGCCACCCCTGCCTTGCTTGTGGGCTTACTCTGTAAAATGCACTGCCTTTCTTTCTTCGGGGAGGTTTGACCAAAGAGGCTTAACTTGGGTCTGTGTGTGTTAAGTACCATCAAGTTGCTTCCGACTTACGGCAAAAGCAGCCCTGTGGATTAACATCCTCCAAAACGTCCTGTCCTTGACTGCCTCGCTCAGGTCTTGCAAACGGAGGGCCTTTTGTGGCTTCCTTGACGGGGTCGATCCATCTCATGTTGGGTCTTCCTCTTTTCCTGCTGCTTTCCGCTTTTTCTACAGAAATTCTCCAGAAATTTTTCGCCATCTTAAGTAATGAAGCTGTATTGTCTGATATATATTGTTTTAGTAGTTTTTAATTGCTATTATATGGAGCTGCGGTGGCTCAAGTGGTTAAGACGCTGAACTGCAGGCTGTGGAAGGTCAGTAGTTCAGCAGTTCGAGACCTGAGTGTGCCGCATGACGGAGTGAGCTCCCGTCTCGAGTTCCAGCTCCTGCCAACCTAGCAGTTCGAAAGCAAGAAATTGCAAGTAGATAAATAGGTGCCACTTCGGTGGGAAGGTAACAGCGTTCCATGCGCCTTGGTGTTTAGTCATGCCGGCCACATGACCACAAAAACATCTTCAGACAGCGCTGGCTCTTCGGCTTTGAAACTGAGATGAGCACCACAACCCTAGAGTCGGATTTGACTGGCTTTCGAGCAAGGGAACCTTTACCTTTACCTTTAATTGCTATTTAATGGAGTATTACTATGTTTATTTGATGTAAGCTGCCCTGAGCACTGCTTGCAGTGAAGGGCGGCCTAGCAAGTTGAATTTAACAAGCAAACAAATAAATAAATAATTCTAACATTATTGTTTTTCCCCCAGTGACTCTTGTCTCTTCATAATGTGAACAAAGTACAATATGCTCAGTTTAGTCATTTTAGCTCCTAGGGAGAGTTCAGCCTTGATTTTGTCTAGAACCCACGGATTTGTCTTTTTGGCAGTTCGTGGTATCCATAACATTCTTCTCCTATCCCACATTTCAAATGAATCTACTTTCTTCCTGTCAGCTTTCTTCATTGTCCAGCTTTCACACCCATACATAGTAGTGGCCTGAATCAATGCGATCTTGATTGCCAGAAACACGCCCCCCTGCTTAAGAGTCTTTTCTGGCTCCTTCATGGTTGTCCTTCCCGATCTCCTTCAGTCTCCTGATTTCTTGGCTTTTGTTGTTCAGTCGCACAGTCGAGTCCGACTCTTCGCGACCCCATGGACCAGATCACGCCAGGCCTTCCTGTCTTCCGCTGTCCTCTTAAGTTTGCTCAATTTCATGTTCGTTGCATGATTTCTTGGCTGCACTCTCCCTTTTGGTTGATGGTGGTGCCAAGGAATAGAAAATCTTGAACTATTTTGATTTCTTCACCGTCAGCTTTAAAGTTGTGTGATTAATTCCCCAGTAGTCATTACTTTTGTCTTCTGGGTAATCCTGCTTTGGCACTTTCTGCTTTCAGCCGTAGTTGTTTCAAGTCCTCACTATTTTCTGCCAGTAATGTGGCGTCATCTTTATATCTCAAATTGTTAATGTTCCTTCCACCAGTTTTCAATCCATCTTCATCTAAATCTAATCCAGTTTTCCTTGTGATGTGTTCTGCATATAGACTGAAGAGACAGGGAGATACAATAATCCTTGTCGGACACCTTTGCCAATTGGAAACCATTGTGTTTCTCCATAGTCTGTCCTAACAGTAGCTCATAGTACAGGTTGCACATCAAAACAATCAGATGGTGTGGCACGCTCATTTCTTTTAAAACCAACCGTAGCTTTTCACGATCCACGCAGTCAAAAGCTTTGCTGTAATCTATGAAACAAGCTGATTTTCTTCTGAAATTCTCTCATACGCTCCAGTAACCAAGGTAAATTTGCAATATAATCTCTAGTCTCTCTTCCTTTTCTGGATCCATCTTGAACATCTGGCATTTCTCATTCCATATATGGTAGCTTGGGTCTAGAACTTTATCTGTCTAGTCCTGCAAAGATTACATTATTTCATGGGCTCAGAATTCTATTTCAAGAAAATGTAGGCCCACACCAAAAGGTCAGCCAAACTCAGGTGGGCAAAAAAATAATAATCTGGACCTTGCTGTAATTTTTTTAATGATATGCATATTTGTGGTTTCATTTAACCTTTTACTTGTGTTAGGTTCCCAGTGTTTAACCTTTGGCTTGCATTCAGTTAACAGAAAACAATCAGAAATGCTTAAAACTAAATTTGGTTGTTTTGTTTTATTTATTTGGCTAATTTATTGCCTCTCCCTGAGGCTCAAAATGGATTATAGAGTACAGAAAGAGGAAATCATCATCATCATCACTATCATCATCACCATCATCATCATCTAGATCTATATAAAAGGCTAGCTGTGTTCCCAAAGACTCACCTTCTACCTGATTGGGCCACCCTTTCCAGGTCATTTGCATATGCGGGCTGATTGGGCCTCACTCCATTCCACATGTCATCCTCCCCCCTCTATAGCCAGTCGGCACCCAGAGGTTGTTTGGATATGCGGCCTGATTGGCCCTCGTCTCCAACATTCTAAACAGTTTGCTGTTGCTATTGGGAGTCATTGGTTGTGTCCTGAGGTAAAATACATCTCCTAGTCTTCCCTAAATGTTCCCTGGGGTTGCCAATCTCCCTGTGGGGCCTGGAGATCTCTCAGAAATCACCGTGTTCCCCAGCCTCAGCACATCATTTCCCCTACAGAAAATTTACCAGCCATTACAACTGATCTCCAGATGACCAAGATCAGTTCTCCTGGAGACAATGGCTGCTTTGGGCAGTGGACTCTATGGCATTATACCCTGCTGAGGTCACTCCCCATCCTAAACCCTCCCCTCCCCTCCCCAGGCTCTACCCCTCAAATCTACAGGTCTGGCCCTCCCCTTAGTCTTGCCAACCTCCAGGTGGCACCTGGAGATCTCCAAGATGAGTT